ATACTGCTGTCCAAAACACATAGCTAACACCAGCCAGGTGGATATATGGGAGTCCTCAACCTTTGCAGCCCTTGCTGCAGCCAGGACTGCTTCGTTAATGCAGGATCATTTATTTTAGATGAAAAAGAAGGCAGGGGTTGGGAGCGGCATCATGACAGCAGCGCAGGTTGAGGCATTTGTCACAGGATGCTGCTTGACACCCGACTAACAGCACAAACGACTGCTCTGGCTCATGCAACCGGTAACAGTGTCCAGCAGCAGCGAAACGTCAGCATCCCTCTTGGCAGGGCACCGCGCACCCGCTGTATGATGGAGTGATTCTAATAACGCCAGACACAGATCATGGTTTCTACCTTCCAAAGCTCACTACGTGATGCCAGGCTACATTACCCCACGTGTCAGTGTCAGGTTGATAGTGTTAAATTGCTCGGAGAGTGCAATACTGGCCTGTGACAAGCATATTGCATTAACAGAGTTGCTGTGTTGGGGTAATGGACTGGATGCCTATGCTTAGGAGGAGTTATCATTTTCTGTCCTGCAGTGGGGGCTATAAGCTCTGACCAAAGCTGGGGACCTGTTATAGCAGATCCTATGCCATCAGGAAGAGAGACGGCCTCCTGCTTGGAGAGAGACACAGGAGGCCAAGCAAACACTCGAGGTTGCTTGGTCTATCTTCAACGAGCATCATGTCCACAGATGTGTCTGCCCGTGCAAACATTGTCCCAGCCTCCCCCATCCCACCTGTATCTTCACACTGACCTTTGTTGTCATGCCAGATCCGCACTTTGCAGAGCTCTCCCAGGCTCAGCATGTCAGGGAAGGTGAATTCATCCATCTGGTTCCTCTCAAACTTGTTAGACTTGTTGGACTCCTTCAAAGCAAGGGTCCCACTGTCCCCGTTCTCTCCAAACAGAATCAAGGACACGTTGGCATCGGTACCTGCTCCTGGAAGGACAGAGCAGGACACATTGTCACGAGCTACTCTGCCACGTAGGACTATCACCCTGTTACCAAATGCATGGAAATGGAGGCAGCAGAGGCTGGAGGTGGCTGCAGTAATGTCCAGGTTGCTCTGGGCACTGCCAACTGATTACAGTGAATTTGTGCAGGAGTCTGCAAGGAGGACTCGTGATAGTCAAGCCAGCCTTCCCAGCCCATCCCTGTAAACACAGCTGGAATGCTTTGCCCTTGCATTCAAAGGATGGTAACAGGATGGGACGCTGATGGTAACAGTACCCACAGAAAGCAGAACTGTCTACTCCTGACATAGCACTATGCATCTCACTGCTTCACAAAGGATGTCAGTGCCGTGATGCTCATTTCCACAGGGTGGCTTGGCAAACAAAGTGACTGGTACAACATCATCCAGCCATCTACAGAAGCACA